GAGGAGATAACGAGTGAGATGAAGGATAGGATCCCTGACTTCTACATGGTTTATATACTCTACGATTTCCCGTCTAGTCTCCTGACGTGTTGATGCAGCACTACTCGCTTCATCATCGAGTACTTTCAACACAAGGTAGGTAATATGAATGGATGAGGCCAACACAACTCACAACTTTATCAATACGCGTCCTCCTCGATAAGATCGTTACTGAGTCTCTGATGAGTGAGGTAGCCTAGTGGAAGGCACCCATGCGATGATGATGTCTACCCATCGCTGTGTGACTAATATTACCCCTACGATCTGCAATCTGTATTCAGCTACTCTAGTTTGGAAGTTCGACTCATTATCACTCGAGGTATCCCTCACAATTGCCCCTCCTCCTCCTCCTCCTCCTCCTCCTACCATTCCAACGGGCTGTGAACCTGATTATCCTTCACACTGGAGAGGTCACAAACGACTACCGCCGAAGCCTTCTAGAAGGGTGAGTGCTGATTCGATGTCAGCAAATGCCTTCTCATAATTAGTTGTTGGCCCAGGACTTGGGTTGTTTAACTCTCTGACTGTATGTTCCAGAAGCTAGGCGGCATGATAACAGATCTCCACTACTACGGCTCAAAGGAGAGTGTTATCACCTTAGTCTTACGAACTGATATGTTGAATGCAACGAATTGTTGACGGACATTCTTCTCCAAATTCATTTTCCCTGATGATAGATGACTGCTGTAGTCTGGTTAAGACTAGTGCGTATTAATACCAGACATAACCATAGTGACCAGTATGACCAGCATCAAGGAGTGGGGGAGGGAATTCTCATCGTTGGGTCCACCCAGTATCAGACTAGTACCACCATATCTGAAGGTTAATTGGAGGGCAGCACACTAGTATGGGGAGAATCATAATATTATGATGATGATGATGACAATATCCCTCACGATAAACAGATAGTGAGAGCCAATGGTATCAAGAGTCGTGTGCGGCATGGAGTCCATATGCATAAGTATCTATACTCAGTGAAGATGATACCATAGGAGTAGGGAGAGAGCTGTAATACGTGATAATTCCATTCAACAATAAGAGGAGATCAGCATCACTAGGGTATTGCACGGGGGCACCGCCTTCATCATTATTCTCGTCATAGACGGGCTAAACGGCAAGTCCTTATTAACGAGGTGGGCAGGAAAGGTCACGACTCACTGCGATAGGGTCATCACCGAATATCTCAGTATTCCTCCATCGATTACCAAAGAGTACACCGACCCATATACCAATGTTCAGCCATATTTGGGTTACGACCTCGATAATGGGATAATAACATACGAGGCTGGGATGATGATGATAATGAAAATTACCTCGAAATAGGGCTTGCATAGGTTGGCAGTAGGAACGATGCATAGAGTGAACATAGCTATACTTGATAGTATCTAGTAGGTAACTAGTCGAGTGGTAGTAGTAGTAAATATCGGTGACACATGGTATATCCAAGAGAGGTTGAACAAGGTCTCAGCTGCTGTATGCTGCCGTTGTGCTGACACGTCTGGTGCAGTAGAGTTAAACCATTTGGATAACTCGATGGAATATAGGGAATACCTGGTGATGATAATAATGGCCGCCGCCACCTTAGGTATCAACAATACGCGAAGAATGCGACAGTGATGGGTATAATCCTGGTCCTCAATGTTGGTGTAACGATGATTGCCACGTAACTAGAGAAGGACATCTCAAGAGTGTTGGCTGATGAGTGATAGCAGCAGCATACTCCGATTCTATGTCATCATTATCGAACTTCATCAATCCTTTGCTGGTTGTACATACATTCTCTAGGTCCTCCTATATGGGTGACCAGAGATGATGATAATAATAAAGGCAATCACAATGAATGATTACCACTTCATGTTGGAGATCATCAACACTCCTATACTCCCTATCCAATGCCTCTACCTATTGTGGACTGTGGGCTCTACTGCTATTACTCTTGTTGCTGTGTACCTTAATGGGAGAAGGAGCACGGCTTCTGGCAGATGATGACGATGCCCGGCGGCGAGGGCGCCCCCTCGAGGCCACTGCTGGCACTGCGGCTTCAGGAGACTCGTCGTCTTGAGCAGCATCCAAGATGGATCCGGGTATGACGTCAGCGTAGGTCATGTAACAGATGGATATGAGACCTAATCTCTACAAAGCACAACGACAACAACAACAACGACGACATCATCGTACTCTCCTCTTGCATGGTTACCAGGCTAGGCACAACTCAAGTATCATTACGAAGATTGACTAGTAGGAAACATGATAATACTTTTCAGACCTCCAGGATAGAGGGGATACCATACAATCGTGAATCATGACGTCGATGGATCTCCCGAGTGGAACCACATGATAACAGCAGTATCGACTCATCTATGGGAAGGCATTGCAGATGACGATACTGCTCATAGGAGGCCACGCTGCGGGTTTATGGATAACGGCGATTACATTTTCAAGGTGGTAGCGGCGGTGGTGGTGGTGGTATGAATGATATTATTAAAGGATATACAGGAGTGTTACCAATGAATAGAAATAAATAATGCCGAGGAGGAAAGGGCCCGTGAAGGAGCATCTGATGATGATGATAATGATGATGTATAGATACCGATACTCACCTTTTAATGCTTCACATAATGCCACAACCGCTACCCTCAGAAGATGATGACGTTTTAGTGACTCCATAGGGATCTCCTCGTAAAGGGCAGGGTACAACTCGGCCAATACACAATCTCCTCCATTCTGATGAGATGATGAAAGAAGACTAAAGGAGGAGGAGGAGGGAGAGTTATTATTACCATTATGGCGACTCCTCGATGAATGGAAGTCATAATCTACACTCGCATCCTGAACACCACCAGCTCGTTGCATTAAAGGCCGAATACCCGCAGCGTGTTGGAACATAAACTCACTAACGTCGTATCTAATGATGAAAGGGGATGATGACTATTAGTGACTACGAGGAGCACATAATGTACTACATTCTCCCATGGGCACATATCCAACAATCATTCACCTTATTATGCCGTTGTACTTGACATGTGGTAAACTCACGTAAGGGTCCTCCTCGAGAGGAGAAACTCTTCATTGAATATCCTCTTGATGGATCTGATATGAGGAGATGACGACGACACTCAGACCGGCACGATGGATGACTCCTCTGGTCAGCGGCTTCCACTTTAATCCTACACACAGTACAACAGGTCTTCACTTGAGAGCACACCTGATGATGATGACTGTAATGATCATTATCACTACATAAGGAATACATCATCGCATCCTGGGCATGCATCACAGATGACCCCCTCCCCCCTGTCCTGGTCTATTGCTGTCGTCTCTACCGTACCACCACCGGACACGTCTCGGACGATACTTGAAGGTGCGATACTGCTCGAGAGGCATCTGCTTTTATGGTCTAAAAGGGTGCGACTACCCGCATGAGGCC